TTAGTTTCACTGAGTTTTGCTCAGTGCAAATTTTCACTGCTGCAATAAATGCAATTTCTATCGTAGCTTCAAAAACAATGAAGTATTTTTGCTGAGAATTTCTCAAATATTTAAATTAGCCTGATGGCATTTGATTGTTAATGTTATAATAGCATTGTTGAACTGAGGATCACTGTTTAAATGACTACTGACTAAATCTTGCACAATGATTGCAGGACAAAGCCTCTTTTGCAAAAATATCTGCATATAATCATAGACTGGACTGATAACCTGACAGGAAAGTTACTTTAGGGGGTGATGTGTAGGCATCAGTCTCTCAAAAAGACTTTAGCTATGTAACATTCCTGAAGGCATTTGTTTAATAATGTAGTGCTGAGGGATGCACTAAAGCTTGGGGTAGCTGCTGCCCAGGCACATTGGGAAAAGACTATTGTCGAAGGTCTTTCTGCCAAAGTTAAATACATTTAAGAAGTATTTAGATGTACACTTGCATTGTCAAGGCTATAAGCCAACTGCTGGAAAATGGGATTACAATAGTTAGTTGGTTGTTTTGACCAATGCAGATTTGATGGGCTGAAATGTATTTTTCTGTACTGTAGACGTCTATGACTCTAATATCGCTGAGCTTGGTTCATTGCCAGCATGCGTGGGCTCAGGACCCCCAATTTCATCACAATATCAGGGTTTCTCTTTTATTTGACAGTCTATTTTATTTTAAATTGCATGGAGAACACAGATGCTGATTGTGAGATAACTGAAATTGAAAGAGAGTTCATTCAATCGGTTGATTTTGGATGCTTCAACCGAATAGGTCTCTCTGTTCAGTTATTGCACCTCTTCCAGTGCCTTAAATATATCCAATCTCTCTTCATAACAAAAACTCTTGCATAAGTAAGAAATCCCATTTGGTTTATTTTGCTGCATAGAATCAAACTCCAATGTTTGTTTGTTTCTCCATATACTACTGTACAGAACTGAACTGCTTTAGGGACTGTGCATGTGTATAAAGATATTTTTTGAATAAAGTATATTTTTGAAATTAAGAAAGAAGTACACCTTGAAGAGGTACCTGAAATGTTGGGAACCTTTTCTCCCTAAAAGCTGCAGTGTGTGAATGCTGCATTCAAGCTAGAGATAATTACAGATGTAGACAGGTGAAGGAAAAAGCAAGTGTTGTATCCCCTATGTTCCTCCTTCACCCTGACACCTGTTCTTTACCATTCTAGTAATTTGGAACTATATCCTGAACTGCTTCATAGCAGTATTGAGATAGCTTCCTGTTGTGCAAATAACTTTTAACACTCACTTGTTATGTCCCTATTCCTTTCTGTCAAACAGAACAAGGAAATAAAAGCAGAGAAAAAAAAAATCCAATCCAGCTGTGACAGATGATTTAAAACTCCTCTGACAGCACGGTTTATAAATGTGTTTGAAACGAAACTCCTTCAGGGCCTGATTGTAATCATTCTGCAGCTGGCCTAATTTCGTCTGTTGAAGGAAACTTGAGTAAGACAGTGAGAAAAGCCAAAGAGACCACATGACTGCAGCAGGATTACATTGTGGTCCAAAGTGGCTTACAGTTCAATTAGTTTTGTTTCAATGCAAATGGCTTTAAAAATATGAAGTTGTGATGTAGAGTTAAAATGGAGCTTTTGTGATCACAGCACAGGAGCACTCCTCATTTGTGAAGTCACATCACACTATATAATTGTAGGGGCGTAAGATGCGGATGAGAATTGAATTGCGAGATTGCCTTTCATTATGATTCTGTTATTTTGCTTCATTTTGCAATTAATAGACGTCTCAGATAACAACAGTTCATTTCACGGTTTCTTGAAAATTATTTAGCTTGTATTGATTTACAGTGTGATTTTACAGAGATAGAATATTATATGAACTTCTAATAACTTGTTTTCACTTTTTAACTTATTCAAAGAATGTTATTTTGCACTGTTTTATCACTAAGGACTGAATTATACCCAGCTTTGGATTCCAACCCCTAACATCCCAGCTAAAAAGAATTTTATTTATTCACTCATGGGATTTGGGTGTCATTGGTTAGCCAGCATTTATTGCCCTTCCCTTGAGAAGATGGAATGAGCTGCCTTCTTAAACCACTGCAGTCTATTTGCTGTAAGTTGACCCCAAATGACCTTGGGGGTGGGAATTCTAGGATTTTGACCCAGCAACGGTGAAGAAATGGTGATATATTTCCATGTCAGATGTTGGCGGTTGAGCCCATTAAGAGGAATATGTGTTGTCCTGCTTAGGTCATAGATACAGCATTGTGTGCAGTTCTGGAATCCACATTATGGGAGGGATGTGTTGCACTGATGAGGGTGCAGAGGAAATTTAACAGGATTTTGCCTGGGCTGGAGAGTTTTTGTTGTGAAGAGAGATTGGGTAGACTGGGATTGTTTTCCTTGGAGCAGAATGCACTGCGAGGCGCACAATTGGGATGTAAAATTATGAGGGCATAGACAAGGCGGACAGGAGGAAAAGTTTTCCCCTTTGGTTGATGGAATCAATGACTAGGGTGCATACATTTAAGGTAAGGGACCTAAGTTTTAGAGGGATGTGAGGAGAACTATTTTCACCTGAAGGGTGGCGGGAATCTGGACCTTACTGCCTGTGAGGGCGGTAGAAGCAGAATCCCGCTGAAGAAGTATTCAGATGTACACTTGCAGTGCCAAGGCTATGGGCCAAGTGGTGGAAAATGGGATTACAATCGTTAGTTGGTTGCTTTTGACCAGCACAGACTCAATGGGCTGAAGAGCCTTTTTCTGTGCTGTAAACCTCTATGACTCTAATATCGCTGAGCTTGGTTCATTGCCAGCATGCGTG